TTTCTTTATTATGGATTCATGCCATCAGGATATTGAAATTATAAAAAGAAAATTGGGGTCACTGTATTGAGAGAAATCTTAATATTCACATACTGTTTTAATTAATTGCATAGTTGGACTCTAGAGGGCAGTCTTCACCTTTCATTGAGTCTGAATAAAAAGTGTGTCCTTTTGAGTCCTGATTTGTACCGCCTATTGCATGGGTTTGAAGATTTTGATAAATTAACCATTTTCCGTTAACTACGAGACCCCGCTTGATGCTCAAAATCTAACGTAAAAATAGGACAAACAAAGCTCATAGCATTGCAGTGACGTTGAAACATTACGTGGGATTCAATGCAAAAGTTTTTTAGGAGTATTTCCGCACTTATTAATATGTTATACATATTTGGTGATGGTCAATTTTGATGAAGTAATAGTATCTCAATGCAATATCCCCCTCTCAAATCTCAGCATAAACATGTATTTGACATAGAGGTATGAAAAAAAAAATACAAATTCAAAATCCAATCGTTTGATTTTTACGACAGACGTTCAGTAAATAGAAAGTTACCTATTATTATGTAATATCATAATAAGTGCTATTAATGTATTTGACATGCGAGTTACGGTTTTGTAGCTGCTGTATTAATTCATATATTACTCTAGTATTATACAGAGCAGCTGTCTGTCATGGCTTTTTCTCCGCCATGAGCTGAGGAGATCTCAAATTACTTTCAGTTTCTCTAGCTGAATATAACTAGGTGTTTTAATACCCAACAGAGATATGCATACTCAAGTACAAATATTATGTTGCCTATAAGACAACTGATAAGTAATATCGTCTTTTTTATTTATTTACAGGGTGCAGCAGACCCTGTGACACACTTGTCAGCATTGTCAGGTTCCAGTGTGTTGTTTCACTGGCCAAGAGATGACTTAGATCGCCTTCTATGCATAAGAATAGCAGACATAGAGGACTGTAAATGGTCTGGTGGTATACAGATTGATAAAACTGATTCCTTTCACATTAATATGAGGTGAGAATGCAACATTTCTTGTTTATGTCTCACTGCTTTTATGTGTCAGTATTTGCTTGCATACATGTAGTCATGAGGTGTGTTTTCATATCGCACAATACACAGGCAAGGCCCTGAAATGTTTCTGGTCACCATGCACGTCATATTATGCATTGCAATTTACAGGGGCAGCAACGGTCGATGTATATTTTTACATGTTGAGATTACAATGAAAGCTGCTACATTCTTTGCTACATTTACCGATGCCGACCAAGTACCACCACCTTACAGACTTGATAACTTGTCAGGAGTAAGTACAATTATTATAATGACGTTTGAAATTATAATATTCCCTCATGAATGTTGTCTTTGCACATGGTACTGTAAACTGTTCAATTTTCACTGCTAGAAATATTTCCGATTTCAGGTTTTTATCACATCATGTTCCCAGACAAATTTTTACTGCTACAAAATGTTGTGATTTTCTCTGATTGCGAAAAATTGTTACTTATGATATAAAAGCTGCTTATCAGCCATTGGATACGTTTGTTTATGTAATTATTTAATTTAGTCAGCCTGAATGGTAAGGTGATTTGCTAAATTTGCATTTTAAAATGGCGGTGTGTTTATTAGGGCTCGCTTCATGCGTGGAACTTGGATTACTAAATGCAACGTCAATGATCAGAGATTCTATAAATGTTTCAGAAGAGCAAAATGTAAATAGGTTGCATAATTTATTAATTTCTCCAATAATATTGCATTAACTCTCATTTGGGCAGACAAGATCTAACATCTAACTACCGTACATGCAGCTCTTAGAAAATACTTGAGACTGTACAATCCGCTTCTTTCACCAGATGGAACGTTTTGGGGCTTGTTGGCGTCACATTGCAACTCTGCAAAATCAATCCAAAATATCTTATTTACTACATGTATTACTATTTACATTGAATAATATGTACTTATTGTATCATTTTCAGGTACCAATTCTCTACTATCAGAGTCAAGTAGCGGATAATACATTGAGGACAATAATAAAACCCAGAACTAAAGGTACATTTACATTTATGAAGAAAGTCATGAGAAATAATATGTTAATTTTAAAGGAGGGGAGGCAAGGGGGATAGCTAGTACGGTTTTACGGGAAATAAAAAGGGCTTTTCACAATTTACGAAGAAAAAAAAGACGTTTATACAGTTTACAGTGTTAACAAATGGAACATTGAATGGTCCGAAGAGCTCTCCGCCATTGCTGCGCCGTGTGAAGAGACGCATGCACATATTACCCTCGTAATGCTCTTCATTCGATTAGAGGGCCTTTTACGTCTTGACATCCAATTTTGTAGTGAATTGTGTCATCTAGTCGTTTTACAGTTTCTAAAATGTAATTTCCCTGGATTATTCTTTACGATTTTTTTTATTTGGATGTGAATTTTTGTATGTACGAGAAAAATGACACATTTTTACAGTGTACGAAACAAATATTTGATTGATTACGTTGTACGTCTAGCCTGTGATTACAGAATTACGAAATATATTTTTTCTATTTACGTTGTACGAACAAAAAAATATTGCAATTACGTTGAACGAAAATAACCCTTGCCCCCCCTCTTAAAGGGAAAGACAATTCTGCAATATGTCTTGTTATTAGTCCCCGTTCGAACGAAGTTCGAAAACGGGGACTTATAATTCGGTCTTCGTTCGTCTGTGCACATGCAGTAGTTTAGCGATTCGATTCAAAATGACTGACTGACAGCCATCTTGTTTTTTTTAAATATCGTATTTTGGACATGCTTTGTCAATTTTCATTCAAATTTGATACATAGATTATCCATGTTAGGATAA